GACCGACCAGGGTTATTTTTTTGAAGCGCGGCCGAAGGCCGCCAGTGCGGAAAGGAGTTCGACGATCTCCGATATTCATTCATTCCATAAAAACGCGGCACAAAAGAAATTTTGACTATTACATTTCTTCAGTATATTTTTTTCATAAGAAAATGTTTAACACACTGAACTGGTAATTACAGCTAAGAGATCTGAATTCTACAGAATTTTGCCGCTACAACAACAACAACAACTAAGTGACTTGAATATGTGATATGTGCAAAGTGTGTAAATAAATATTGAAAAATATACATAAATTATTGAAAAAATTCACTTTCCGCTCACGGATTTGTAATCTACATAACTTCTTTTTAAGGGGTGACCGACGGGTAATTCCTTCGAATTCATAAAAAGGACACTTAATTGTGTCACCCCTTACAACCCCAACCCCCTACGAAGTGGGGGTCATTAAGTACATATTTACCAATATTGTCGCTATTTTTTGTACATTAAAAGAAGTCAAGTGTAGGTGCCTATAGTTACCGAATTTTACGTTTCCAAGTGAATGATTTACAAAAATTGATTTCCAAAAAAATACTTTTACTAATTTTGGTTTGTATTGTGAGATATGTATTATTTAAGAAGTTACATTGTCATGCATTAATATAACTAATTGTATATTGTTGCTACCTTCTGAGGACTTTCGCAAAGAAAAGTTCTGTTATAGTATTCAACGCAAGCATAACGGCAACTATAAATCAGATAAATTTTAGAATAGAATCTCCTTTTTACATTGGTGGCCTTCGGCGGCGCTTGAAATAATTCCCTGCCAAATCCAACACTGGGATTTACCAAGAAAAAGGAAATTCTAAACGAGTTTGCGTTCTCATCACACGATTATGAATTTTGTATTGACAGTATAATCCTATTTTTTTGTTTTTTTACTCTCGCAACCTGTTGCTACAGAGTATAATAGTTTTGTTCACCTAACGGTTATTTGTATCACCTAAAACTAATCGAGTTAGATATAGGGTTATGTATATATAAATGATCAGGATGAAGAGACGAGTTGAAATCCGGGTGACTGTCTGTCCGTCCGTCCATCCGTCCGTCCGTGCAAGCTCTAACTTGAGTAAAAATTGAGATATCTTTATGAAACTTGGTAGACATGTCTGTTGGTACCATGAGACGGTTGGTATGATGAGCGTAATCGGACCACTGCCACGCCCACAAAACGACATTAATCAAAAACAAATAAATTGCCATAACCAAGCTCTGCAATAAGATACAAGACTGTTATTTGGTACAGAGGATCACATTAGAGAGGGGCATCTGCAGTTAAATTTTTTTCTAAGTGGGCGTGGTCCCGCCCCTAATAGGTTTAATGTGCATATCTCCTAAGCCGCTCTAGCTATAATAATAAAATTAACTGAGAACAAATGGTTTTTGCACCTCTATCGGCAGTGTGGAAATGGCTGAAATCGGGTGGCAACTCCGCCTACTCCCCATATAACGGTACTATTAAAAACTATTAAAAGCGCGATAAATCAAGTACTATATACGCCAGAGACATTAAATTTTATCTCTGGGATGGTATCAGATGACTTTATGCAACCCCATGCATGTTATTTTATGGATTTGAACCAAAGTCTAATATTGAATGATAATAAAGTTAGTTTTTCACTATTGAATAAAACAAATTTGTCGGAACTAATTTGTGAAGTGCTGGTGGATATAAAAGTTACAAATATAAGTAATAAATCCATTATAAATCAAAGCACTTAGTTGAATTTTTGAATCTTAAATGCAAATATCTCAAAAACCATAAGTCAGCGGCAACCAAATGTATCTTAATCTGGAGAACCTCCTCTATATTTACATACCTATTTTACGAATTCGGGGGTTGTTATTCTAAATTCTAGCCCTATAATACACTGGGCTTCAGCAATTAAAATGGCTGCAGAAACTGTAAATAACAGAAACTCTAAAAATAATTCATTATTATCTTTATTTTAAAACAAAATCTTAATCAGTATTAAACATTAAATGGGTTGTTATTTGCTTGCCAAGCAACTTTCTCTTCTCGATATCTTTAGTGTATCGTACTAAAGTCACTAACATCGATTTTCTTTGCTGTTCCATGTTGCAAACCCGAGACCGTTCTCTACAATTCACCGCCATTAAACTCTGAAATTCAGAAAGGAAATAAAAAAAAAAATTAGAAAGCTTGAGTTCAAACGCACCCGAACATTATATACCAGCTAATAGAATACTATAACTTCTTTCCAGGCGTCTATCCACACAAGGAAAATAATAATCTTCGTCGTTAATTTGTTTTTGGAATTGCAATAAAATGTTTTAAAAATAAAATTTTCGTTATTATATTTACTTCAAATTCTAAGCAAAAAAAAAAACGTAAAAAAATTATTATTTTGTAGTCTGTTTAGTCAAACTTCCCTTTTGGATTCATATTCTTAAGCTAATTATTAAAAAATTCAATAGCTCAGCTATTAAATAGTTTAAAAAAAATTTTGCTTTGTAGTAGACTTTTAGTTTGTTATGCTTAAATCAAAAGTTATAAATTTATTTAATAAGCCATATTCTTACTCGGAAAGCAATTTTTCAGATTATGATTTCCCCTTTTTTACCGGTATTGTCAAATTATGGTTTGTTTATCAGCAATACCTTTAATTGTTCATTTTGATAATTCAGTTGTTTTTCTAGGTAATGTAATCTGGCTTCCTTAAAGCGCATTCGTAACGGCAAAGTTCTCTGTAAAGGATTCATTAGACGGACATTCCTGAAATGGGCAATAGTACAAAAACCGAAAAAATAATAATGTGCGTGTACCATGAGCTTCCTTTGAATTTTTGGCATTGCTCTTTTAACATTTCCAATTCAGCTACTCGATCCGTAACATCATATTCATTCCAAAATCGATATAAAGAATTTTTCAGGGATTTCATCAACTGTTCTCTCATTTCACAGATTAATTCATCTTGATTTTGTACCACATGCTTTTGATGCTTCATTAGCACTTCAGCGAACCCTTTTAAGTGTGAAGGCCTATATAAAAAGGAATTTGTGTCATTAATAAAATATCATATTTGACTTTAAACATCCATGTGTCTAAAATATTTCAGATAGTACAAAATTCTGAAACGAGGTCTCTAACCAACAGTAATTTCAAAACCTGTTCATTGCCAATTAATGATATATTTCATGTGAATCGGCAAACATCATATTTTACAAGGGTTTACGTACGGGTCAAAGATCGCGTTTGGATTTAACGTACTTATATCCGTACTAATATCCAGGTAATAATTTCAATCATAGCTAAATAGGCTGGGTTTTAGCATTAGTATAGCACCCCCCTTAATTCCTTCTTAAAATAAGTAAAATTTAAGAAAACTTGTATAACGATTTAAAACTATTTGTGCACTATATGTGTTCAAATAAATGTGTAAAAACTATTTAGTGACGTGTTAGTGGAAATATTATTTAATAATATAAGTGTAAAATTGATAAAACATGGGAAAATGTGAACCCTGAAAATTTGTCAACACTATAAAATTGTCATTTCAAATCTCCCTAACGATATATTCAATCAACTATATAACTACACATAAGTCTCATTTACAGTTGCTGAATCACGGCGTTATTTTCAGGCCGGGGATTGTGCAATATGATATACAAAACAACACATTACGACAACCCACGGCCGAAAAACGGCTCCGATTATTTTGATAAAAACGCTTTTACACTAATTTGTTTGTTTACTAATTTCGAAAAAAAACGATTCTAACCTCAACTCTCCAGTCATTTGGCGGTAAGCTTCATGGTATTCCGCTCTCAACTTTTCTGCAAATCCCCTCAACTGTGAATGCTTTTCCTCCAAATCAACATCTTCAGTAGCACGTGGTGATACATTATCCTGTTGTTTGGCTTTCAACTGGAAGTTTTCCACCATCTTATAATCATCCATCGTAATTTATTCACTCTTTTCTTTTACGTAAATTTTATTATAGTATCGATAACTATTTTCACAGTTGGGATTTCCACACTTTCAATAAGTTTAACTAGATATAGTTTAACAATCAAGATATTAATATTTGTAAAATTGCAAATTAAAATTTCATACACAAATTCAAATGCAATGTCTCACAATCGCTCGTTTTGTGGACCAATTACAGGTTCCACAAAAGCAGCAACAAAGCATGCGATTTGTTGTTTGCGTTCATTCAAATTGTTTTGTCTTAACAAGATGTCTACATGATGAAAACAAGCCCTCTAATATAAATCTTTGCAGATTAAAAAAAAACTTTTTAGGTTAAGAACATTTAAATTTGACATTTTTTAATAAACATTCATTTAAAATTTTGTACCAAATATATAATTTCCTTCGTATAAGTTTTAAACATGTTACATTTCTTTATTTCCAGCACTACCTTACTAGTAAACAGCGAAAATCTCCATCCGCAGTTGTAAAATGGTTAGCGCACGTATAGTTAATTTTTTATAAATGTGATAGAAACGTTATGGTACTATAATCAAGTACTTAATTTTATTAAAATCCGTGATAGCAGTTAAGAGAGATTTTCATGCAATGGATACGACGAATGCCCAAATTTCTCCTTTCGTAAGGGTTGTTGTTGTTGTTGTAACGGTTCCCTAGTCCCCGTTTGGGTGATAAATTCCAGATTCGTTGTCGTCGAGGTCATCTAACGGGAGGCCCAGGAAACGAGCTGTTTCGACGGCGTCGGACCATAGGGAGAAGGGTGTTAGATGAGTGGGGTTTGTTGGGCATGCAAAGAGGTGGTTAGTGTCATGCGGAGACTCATTGCCACAGGACATGAGTTTGGTATGTCGGGGTCTAGTTCGGGAAGGAGTTTAACCTGCTACAGTATCCAGAACGAAGTTGCGCGAGGGTCACTCTGGTTTCGCGAGGCAACTCGAGCTCTACGTCTGCTATGGGTGGTGGTTTGACTCCTATTACGCTATTCACTGAGAGGGAGTCTGTGAAGGTGTTGATGGCTCCACTGTGAATGGCGGTCAAAGCCTGTCTGAAGTTCGTTGCGTCCGAAGTCCGGTCGGCGTACTGTCTAATGTCGTCGCCGTAATCAAGGAAAGACCTCTTGATGTTCCTAGGAGGCGGCTCCGCTACAGGTAGGCGACTACAGGGGTGGTTTCTACGAAAACACCCCAGTAGAAACTGCTTGGAGAGGAGTTCGTTGTGTTCCTTAACCTGAAGCATACGGGCCTCAATATGTAGGTGCTCGATTGGAGACATCAAGAGGCATCCCATGATCAGGTCTGAAGCTTCTTCTTCTGCGTGTCACTGCATCCAGGCGACCATATTGGGGCTGCGTAATTTAGGACCGGCCGGCCGATTGCCTTGTATGTTGCCAACAACGTTTCTTTGTCTTTTCCCCAAGAGCTGCCGGCAAGCGACTTGAGGATTTTGTTACGGCTCTGTACTTTGGCAGTTATCGCGGTCATGTGAGGAGTGAAAGAGCACAGACTGTCCAAAGTGACGCCTAAAATCTTAGGGTTATTGACTGTCGGAATTTTTGTGCCATCGACTGAAATGTTCAGGTCCAGTTTGTACTCCTTCGTCCAATTTGTGAAGATAGTCGCTGTGGATTTAGTGGGAGAGAATGTTAGGTTCCTTGCAGAGAAGAAGCGAGAAAGATCGGAGAGGTAGCTGTTTACTTTTGAACACATGCCATCGATTCCATTTCCCGACGTCAATATCGTACAGTCATCAGCGTACGAGGTCACTGAAATTCCCGCTGGTGGCTGGGGGAGTTTCGAAATATAAAAATTAAACAGTAGTGGGGAGAGGACACCGCCCTGCGGAACCCCCTGTTAAATTTTCCTAAGTTTGGAGTTTTGACCTCGAAACAGTACGGATGAATGCCGACCGCTCAGGTAGTTCATAGTCCACCGCTTCAGTCCTGGAGAGAGCGTTGATTGTTCTAGGTCCTCAAGTAGCGTTCTGTGATTGACTGTGTTAAAAGCTTTTGACAAATCCAACGCTACGAGGATCGTCCTCTCGCAAGGTGGCTTCTGGTTCAGGCCATGAACTATCTGGGTGTTTATGACGCAAAGTGCTGTGGAGGTACTGTGCACTTTTCAGAAGCCATGCTGATGATCTGCTAGGCTCAGGTGGTGAGTGAATGACGGGAGTAACAAGGCCTCAAGTGTCATCACTACTGGGGAAAGGAGAGTTTTCGGGCGATAAGACTCCCCTTTGTTGGCGGGTTTCCCAGGTTTCAGTAGTGGGACCACTCTTCCGACTTTCCACACATCGGGTATTTGAAGAGTGGATATCGACAGGTTGAGGACCTTGGTGAGATAATTTACTGCCATTGGGCCTAGGAGTTTTAGCATCAGCATGCTTATTCCGTCAGGGCCAATGGATTTAGACGATTTCGCCTTTTTGATGACACTCTGAACCTCCCCATCGGTGAAAGTAAGTGGTGCGCAGTCTTTTGGCATTTTACGCAGCCGTCGGGTAACACGTCGTTTGGCCTTGTCAGTCGAAGGGTGCAGTGTAAATTGTCGGCTGAAATAGCTCGCGCACTTCTTCGGGTCCGAGGAGGCATGGCCATCGAATTGAATTTCAACCCGATCGTCATGTCTTCTCGGATTTAACAGGGCCTTGACAGTAGTCCAAAGCTTACTCTCACCGGTGGAGAGGTTGCAGGACTTCAGGTGCTCTATCCATTTTGTCCGCTTATGATGATTTACCAATTGCCGAATCTCCAAATTGAGATCCCTTATTCGGGGATCACAGGGATCGGCATGGAGTAAGATGTCGCGCTCGTTTGCTAGTACAGCTGCTTCGGCTGGGAAATTAGGGCGGAGTTCCGCAATTCTTCCAGCCGGTATGAAGCGAGCAGTAGCAGCAGCGATCACCTTGCGGAATTGACGCTCGCCAACGATGACATCCGTAGGAATGGGTAGTGCCTTGAAGGTGCTCTCAGTAATTTCTGTGAAGCCGAACCAGTTAGCTTTGTTAAAGTTAACATAAGTGCGGTTGTCCACAGAAATAAAGTCAGGAGGTTTCTCGATCGAGATAATTATGGGCAGATGGTCTGATGCGAGAGTTAGCATAGGTCGCCAGTTTATGCTATTTATCAGACCACCGCTAGCGATGGTAATATCTGGCGAGCTATTACAGGTGCCCATAATTCTGGTGGGGGCTTCGTCATTCATTGTGCAGAATGTCGAATCGTCTATCTGTTCCGCCAGCTCCATCCCCCTACGATCGTTTGACAGGCAGGAATGCCAAAGATCGTGATGCGCGTTAAAGTCGCCTAGCACCAAATGGTTTTCATCACGAAGTAACGCATCTATGTTCGGGTGATATCCTGTTGGGCAACATGTAACTGGGGGGATGTATATATCAAATATTTCGAGCTCGACATCGCCTGACGGGACAGCTATGCCCTGAAATTCTAGGGCAGTTTTCGTAAGGGTCTTTATTATTAGTACTCTGTGTTGTTTCTGGTTACCCTGAGTTAATGGTAAGGTGACCAAAAGAAAATTGGACCATAATAAATATGAGCAATTATATTTTAATTATATTTGTATTTCCATTACCATTGCCTATTTCTACTATTGTATAAGCAGAGAATGAAAAATATAGAGAAGGTCCAACTACGGACCAGCGTGTGAATTGTCAAAACTTAACAAAATACGATGAGCGTGTTTCACCACAGTCGGCTCGGAAGGAGGAATTTTACAGTGGCACGTGAACAGAGCCGAGCATTGAATGTAAATTATGCTCAGAAGTTTGCATTGATATTACAGCCGCATGTTAGCTTATATTTTTATACATTTATATGCAATCATATTCATAGATATGAAATTCCTTTTCTGAATATCTATGATATCATGAAAAATTTATTACATTTTTATTAAAATATATTACTTCAAAGGAATATTTGCAGTTGCTTTTTAAATATTGCTTATATTTGATAATATGAAATGCTTTCATATAAGTACATATATATGTATATGTATCTGCTATGTTTTACTATATACATACATACATAAGTATATAACATACTATTATGTTAGATTCTTATTCTTAAATATATTTAAATAGTAATATAAGCAAATCACACCTTTCATGATTTAAAGCTTACATACATACATATGTATGTACTTATGTAAGTACAATTCAAATTCAAATCAAGTTATTATCATTTATCAGTAATAACATTTGCGCGTACTGCTCTATATGTACATACATACATATGTACATATGACATTGCCACAGAAATAATGGATACACAAACCTACATTCATATATTCGTACACATGTAAATATGTCACCCGCAAAAACTACAAACATTGTTCTACAAAAACAACAATCGTCACAAGTCAATGTGTCAGCCGAATAGGCGAAGCCCAAATTTATAGTAAATCAAACAACAACAACATTTTCATTCATGAACGCAGGCGTACTTTCAACAAGCAACCTCGCTTCATTCATAAAAACAGACACCCTCTCATCTCCCCGAGCATGCGTTTGCCTATAAGCTTCTTTTCGCGACGATGGCAAAAGCTAAAAATCATAAATTAAAAAATTTCTGATATTCCCTCTAGCAGGGAAAAGTTGCAACCCCGCAAACCCACAAAACACAGAAAAAATTGACAAAACTGGCAACAAAGCTTTTGTCGATTTAAAATATTTTACAATTTTAAAATATTTTTCAATTTTAAAACATTTTTCAATTTTAAAATATTTTTCCATGACAAAAATCTGCGTCAATATGTTTACATGCTCATATATAAACATACATATTTACGATGATTTGTAGGCGAAGCTGTTAGAGCGACAAGGGAAGCGGTGACAATCGGCGGCCCTTCGTTATTTTTTTTCGGCATAGCTCGGATTTTCTACCAACAACACAATGTTGTGACGCTTTGTTGTCGCGTCAGTCCTTCGTCACAGTGACTCTTTGACAAGAAAACAAAAAACGTGAGCTTCGGCCATTGGTTGTCCGTGGCAACGGAGATTTCGCATGAAACAATAAGTGTACATGCTTACATACATAGGTATGTTGCATGTAGACAAAATAATAATTATAATGTGTACTTTCATATTTGTTTACATGCACACATAATTATACATATATTATGTATAAGAATATTTGCGACCTGCGAGAGGTGTACAAAATCAAACCCAGAAATCTGACTGAATTAGGTGTCGCATATGCGTAGTTGAGCATGGAGGAATAATTAATTGTTTAAATAAAATAAAAATTTCTATGCAATAAAAAAAATTAATGTAATGCATTGACTAAAAAGAAACTTATTACGGTTTAATTTTGTAGCACGATTCGTTAGCCACCCTCTATAGGCAGAATATCTTCAAATTATATGCAAAGTCGTTTGCGCCTTGTAAATATACGAATCTGTAAGCG